TAAACAATTGGCAAATCAAATAAATAAATAAATAAATAAATAAATGTGTGATTGCGTGTGTGCATGCCAGCACCCACAATGCAATGTGCCCCCTGCACATGCATGTGCAGAACCCACCACCACCACTTTACCTGCACTGCACATGCATGCAGCTCCCAGCTGATTTTTGACCCATTTGAGGCCTTTTTCGGCCTCCCAGAGGCTCAAGGGAAGCCTCTGCAGCCTTTGCAGGCCAAAAAACAGGCCCATTTCATCACTTCCTGTATTTCCAGAAATATGGGAAATGATGAAACGGGCCTGTTTCAGCCTCCAAAGGCTGCAGAGGCTTCCCTTGAGCCTCTGGGAGGCCAATAAAGGCCTCAAATGGGCTGAAAATCAGCTGGGAGTCACATGAATGTGCAGTGCAGGTAAGTTTGGCTGGGGCTTATGTGCCCGCACAAATGGCTCTGCGTGCCACCTGTGGCAGGCATGCCATAGGTTCATCATCACGGATCTAACTAGTTTAGTGAAGAAAAGGACCAGGAGAGACATGATAGCAGAATTCCAATATTTGAGGGGCTGCCACAAAGAGGAGGGGATCAAGCTATTTTCCAAACCACCTGAAGGCCAGACAAGGAATAATGGATGGAAACTGAACAAGGAGAGATTCAACCTGGAAATAAGGAGACATTTTCTGACAGTGAGAACAATCAACCAATGGAACAGAAATTGACTTCAGAAATTGTGGGAGCTTCATCACTTGAAACTTTCAAGAAGAGATTGGACTGCCATTTATCAGAAATGGTGTAGGGTCTCCTGCTTGGGCAGGGGGTTGGACTAGATGTCCTACAAGGTCCCTTCCAACTCTGTTAATCTGTAAAAATAAAGGATTCAATTGCATTGTGTCTGAAGGCAGGATATCTTTTTTTGTGCTCCCCTCTCAAAAAAAAAAAAAACTTTTCTAAAATGTGGACATTTCACTTTTATTAGCTTTTTGCAATTTATTCAAGACAGGATTGTTAGATGGGAGACCTAGGACTCATCATACTATCATACTATTTTTGGTAATAGAGATGTATTATATTTCTATGAAATGATATTGCAGGAGAAATGCTGAGTTTGGTTATAATTTGTCATAATTGATTAATAAAACAAAAGTGAGATCCACATCTCAGTTATTAATCATTCTTTGTGGGTGGACATTTCCTTCTTCTATATTTCAAACCAAGAAATGTTTTCCTATCCTCCTTCAAGTAGCTCCACAATTTTCTTCAAGAGGTTTCTTTTAACAACTCAGCTGGAGAAAGAGTCTTCTTTAAAGACAGCAGAGAAGGTCCAGGTGGCTTTGACATCATCAACATGATCACTTTCCCAAATAGATCCTTTCAGAGAGTTAAAGTTGGAATGTTACACCCTAATGCTCCAAAAGGAAAAGAAGTTATGATTAAGAACAGAATCTTTTGGCACCCTGGTTTTAACCAGGTATGAAAACATGTTCATCTACAAAGGAGTACATCCCCTCATAAAATGTTCTCATGAAGTTGTATTATTTTCAGAATAGGTCTCCCATCATCTTTTTCAAATGTAATTAGAAACTGAATTTCTGTAATGGTCTACAGAAAATCCATATTATGTAACAATGCTGTAGATGATAGATAAATAGATAGATAGATAGATAGATAGATAGATAGATAGATAGATAGATAGATAGATAGATAGATAGATAGATAGATAGATGCATACATACATAGAGATAGATGAGAGAAAAAGAGGGGGTGGTGGAAGACATTGGAGAAGGGAGAAGAAAGGCTAAAGGAAATATATTTTGCTGATATATTTTTCATGCCTACAAAAAATTCATTTTTTTTTCATTTTTTTATTATATAGGCTTCAATGAATGCAATTCTTTTGAATTGTATAGTACTAATTGCACTAATTTTGGAAGGTGTTCATAGTCTATTCACATGGATCAAAATCTCTTGTCTGTAAATAAAAGATATCTATGAATTATTGTGCACTGTGCTAGAGAGATGGAAAGAAGAGAGAGAGAGAGAGAGAGAGAGAGAGGGAGGGAGGGAGGGAAGGAAGGAAGGAAGGAGGAAGGAAGGAAGGAAGGAAGGAAGGAAGGAAGGAAGGAAGGAAGGAAGGAAGGAAGGAAGGAAGGAAGGAAGGAAGGAAGGAAGGAAAGACCACCATATTTTATTTCACTAGGTAACCCTTCATTTATATTAACAGTAGTTGTTATTATTCAGAGTTGCAATTTCTTCTTCTTTTGTTGTTGTCCCTATGATTTCAGGAATTTCTACAACCCCTCCTCTAAATATTAATAATGTCAAATATTATTCATATAATCCAATTTAGATAATTTCCATTGTCTAATCTATATGCTTTCATATCTACATCTATCTCTCTAGCTTCTGCCTGTTTCTCTCTGTAATAACCCTTGTTCCCCAGGTTATTGGAAGAAAAGGGCTGAAGGGAGAGCATTCTGTTGTTATGATTGTGTTCCATGCCCAGAAGCAAAGATTTCAAATCAAACTGGTATTTCCACAATATATTTTTTATTATACCATTAATTTTCATTAACTAACCATTCATTATATACAGTTCTAAGAAATGTAACATCCTGGATGTGTATTTGTATAATTAAAACTTTTACCAATATTTAATGAGATATATTTTTAGCTCATTCTCAAATTTGTTTATGGAAACCCTGCAATTATTATTCCACTGGGGATAGATGGATATATGATACAGATGATAGATAGATTGATAGATAGATAGATAGATAGATAGATAGATAGATAGATAGATAGAT